TATGAGCAGTATATTTCCAGCAGGCTATAGGTATGCGGTAAGATAAGCTTTATAGAAACTGTATGGTTTGTTTCTTATGTTGACTCTTAATAAGGTTTTTCATAAAAAAAGTACATCAGAGTGCTTGGTGTACAAAGTAATGTGAACCACTTAGAAGACTGCACAAGCAAACTAGAATTAATGAAAAACTTTTTCAGGGAAAAAAATTTCTTGAAAATTAGAAAGATCGTTCTTTACTAAATAAGTAAGTACCCATGGAATGTCTGGCACAAAAACCCTGTGCCTGGTCATTTACTCTTCTGGCAGTCCTGTCAGAGAGGTTGGCCTGCGTGGAGTCCTGTTCTTTTCAGATGTCATGAAAAGATGTTTCTTGCCAAAGCCCTTCCCGACTGAGATGGAGTTTATGTAAGAGCTGTATCTCCGACGTCCTTTATGCCAAAGGAAGTTTGGCACTAGCTCCAGCTCAGCCCCTACATAGCTGGGTGACCTCAGTCAAAGTGGGTTCCCCTCTGAGGGGGGTTTCAGCTTCTTCATCCATAAAATGCAAAGGTTGAGCTGATGATCTGCTGTGGAGGTGTCGTGCACGTTCATTCATTCCACAAGGGTTTGTTGAACACCTACTTTGTGCCAGGCACAACTCTGTCACGGGCAGTTCAGTGATGAGCAAAACCAGACAGTGGTCCTTGCTCCGTGGTGCTTAGATCTTAATAGGGGAAAGATAGTCCTTAAGCAAATAGCTGCACAAGTAAATGTGTCATCGCAGCCTTGGTGGAGCACGTGGGGCTGGGGGAGCTCATAAAGGGGAGATTTATTTCACCCAAGACAGAGGTCAGAAAGGACCTCCTAGGGTATGACAGGCAAGGGGAACATGGGCTGCAATGGCGAGGGGTGGTCTTCCACAGTATAGGAGGCACTGCGTTTTCAGCCCACTACAACTCCTTGGCCAGCCACCTTATCTCTCTGCATCTTGATTTCCTCATCTCTAAAAATGGAACTAACATCATGAACCTTTTGTGGTGTTGTAAGGTTTCAGAAAGACGACATATTTGAAAGTACCCAGCACCAGGCAAATGACATTACGTTTCATTTCTAAGAATAGCTTTGAAAGCAGAGAGGTTCTATTTTATAAATGGGTTTTTAGCTGTAAAGAAGGAGTGAAAACAGCTTTGAGTCCTCTTGTTTTAAAATGTTTGAGTTCACAGTTTGTTCTGGAAGGTGCCTGACTTCCCTTAATCACGGAGCCATTTTTTAATCACTTGACTTTGAAACCCCAGGAACGACCTCGCTTCATGATTAAGTGACAAAGGCCTAAGCTTAGGGGGCTGGCAGAAGGTTAGACATCCCTGGCCTGATCCCCTGCCATTTACATACAAGAAAAAGAAGCTGATCACGAAAAACAAAACTGGAATAAGGAGGCAGCCCCATGCCCCATGATTCTGTGCTTTTCTATACTGTCTCTCAGCTTGCTTACTACTCCATTTAGAAAGTAGGGATAACCTCTGAGGCAACGGGACTACTTGTGAGGGCTTGAGATAAAGCGAGGTTAGCTCGCTCGCTCTCTCATAACTCCTTCAAGGCCTGAGGATTATTCCTTTAATCTTACAAAAGCAAACAGGAGGACAGAAATAACCCATCAATTGTTTAAAATTAAAATGGCCAACAATAATAAATAATTGCCACAATAGCTTGAGGTCAGGGTAGTGAGTTATTGGAGGCCATTCAAGAATTCGAAACTTTTCTCTAAGTTAATTTTTCACATCTTGTTTGGATCCTTGGAGCTCTTGCTTCCAAAAACAAGACCATCAGATCTCTCCTCGCACATGTTATTCTTGTTGATGCGCCAGGCATGCAGGAAAGTGAGGTCCTCTCTTCTTGGATGGGTAGCGATGATCCCTCCCCCCAAAATCTGTACTTCAAAGTATGATAGCCCACTAAAATTTTGGTTAGTTCTCTTTCCTTTCATGCTCTGTTAGCTATACCAGTGGTTACAAACAACAACAAATATGCGCTGGTTAATTTAAGCAGAAAAGGAATGTATTGCAAGGACATGGGCCCGTTCAGAGCATTGGCAGGAAGGCTGGAGAATCATCATCACAGGACACAAGGGAGGGCAAGGCTTAGCTCAGGGTGCCACCTCTGGGCTCGCCATCCTCTGTAGCCACCTCTGATGATCTCAGGGGGCCCTGCTGTCTTTATACAACCCTCTGAGTTCATGGCCCCAGTTAGGCACATCTGCTCACCACACTGAGGCTTGTGACCACTCTTAAATCACATGACTGCACTTAGGTGACCACACTTTAGCAACCAATAGCGGGGAGGGGGAGGCCCTGCCCCCTTTCTTCGATGTGCCCCTTTCACTTATCTCGAGATTTCCCCCAAACAGGAAGGTATCAGGATGCTGAGTGGCCAAAAATATTAACTGTCCATTACACAAACTCTCATATGCTTAATACATCTTCCATTAACTGGTTGGCCAGAGATTGGCCACCAGTGTGAATGTACGGTGTCCAAAGCTCAGATCACATAATAATCATCAATCTCATGTGCATCATCATCATCGTCATCCTCATCCTCATCCTCACGATCATACTCATCTAGCGTATCATCCCATGGATGGCCCATGGACTCCCCGACTCTCCGAGGCTGCCGTTTCTCTCCTTTTCCTCACCCTTCAAACATTATCTCCTCTGAATGCAGTTAGCATTAATATGATGGCTAGGTGTGGAGGGCTAGGGGAGGAAGGGAGCAATTGGGGAGATCGTTTTACGAACTATATAGCTATATAGATGTCTAACCAATGTACTGTATACTTGAAACTAATTTAACTAAATAAATTAACAAACAAACAAACAAAAAACCTTACCTCCTCCTCCTCTCCCTTTCTAGTCATTACCCAGCTCTGTTTCACTGCAGACTGGAAGCAATCACAAGGGGGCATCTGCTTGTTTCTGACACCCATCTACTAATGCACCTGTGCCACATGCTCCACCTTCTCACCTCATACCAGCTGAGGCCAGCCCCTCACTGGTTCAACAGGCCATCCGGCAATTGTCCCCTATCATGCCATTATTAATTGTTCTCTTTCTAACAGATCTTTCTCATTATCATGCAAATATGCTATGATAATTTCCAGCTTAGAAAAAAAATTCCCTTGAGCCCGCTTCCCCTAGCAGCTATCCTGTTTCTTTCTTCCCCTTTACAGAAAAACTCCTCTAAATAGTTTACTGTACTCTCTATTTATTCTCCTCCTACAGTTTTAAACCAATTCCAATTAAGCTTTCATCCCTATCACTCCACTTAAGCAGTTCTTATCGAGATCACCAATGACCTTCAGATGGCTAATTTCGATGGCCAGTTCTAATTCTTCTTTCACGTTTGACAAAATCGATTGCTCCTTCCTTGAAACATGTCTTCTGTGGCCACTTAGATACCCTCTCTCTTGGTTTTCCTCCCTTCTCCCTTATCACTCTGTTTTCTCAGTCTCCTTTGCTGGCCCCTCCTCATCTTCAACTTCTAAGTGCGAGGCCTCTTCTCTACCTACACACATTCCCTAGTGATCATATCTAGTCCATCTCAAATGTATATTTCCAGCCCAGACCCCTCCTTCAACTCCAGACTTATGCATCCAACTGTCTCAACATCTTTTCTTAAAAATCTAATAGGTATGTGAATTTTCTCTGCTAAACTTTCTATACCCACAGTCTTTCCCTTCCAGTTATTGAATCTAAAATCCCTGGAGCCATCCTTGACCCCTCTCTTTCC